GTTTTTTTTGGGGGGAGGTTGGGATGGAGGGGAGGGAAGGGGATGGAGGGGGGAGCAGTGGGATCTGAGGCCAAGGATCTGCAGAGGGATCGGGACAGGATGAGCCATGGGATCCATGGGCCAAGGATCTGCAGAACCATGGGATCCATGGGCCAAAGCTTTGGAGGGGGATCAGGACAGGCTGATCCATGGGATCCATGGGCCCAGGCAGTGGGATCTGAGGCCAAGGATCTGCAGAGGGATCGGGACAGGATGAGCCATGGGATCCATGGGCCAAGGATCTGCAGAACCATGGGATCCATGGGCCAAAGCTTTGGAGGGGGATCAGGACAGGCTGATCCATGGGATCCATGGGTCAAGGCTCTACAGAGGGATCAGGACAGGCTGATCCATGAGATCCATGGGCCAAGGCTCTGCAGAGGGATCAGGACAGGCTGATCCATGAGATCCATGGGCCAAGGCTCTGCAGAGGGATCAGGACAGGCTGATCCATGAGATCCATGGGCCAAGGCTCTGCAGAGGGATCAGGACAGGCTGATCCATGAGATCCATGGGCCAAGGCTCTGCAGAGGGATCAGGACAGGCTGATCCATGAGATCCATGGGCCAAGGCTCTCCAGAGGGATCAGGACAGGCTGATCCATGAGATCCATGGGCCAAGGCTTTGGAGGGGGATCAGGACAGGCTGATCCATGGGATCCATGGGGCCAAGGCTTTGGAAGGAGATCAGGACAGGCTGAGCCATGGGATCTGTGGGTCAGGGCTCTGCAGGGGGATCAGGACAGGCTGATCCATGGGATCCATGGACTGGTGCAGATGACACTGAGTTGGGTGGGATGAAGATCTGCTGGAGAGCAGGAAGGCTCTGCAGAGGGATCAGGAGAGGCTGAGCCATGGGCCAAGGCTCACACAGGAACAAAACAGCTTCTTCATTTCACCCTTCTATGGAACTTCTGGTTCCCTTTCCCAGCCTGACTCTCCACATCCATGAAAACGACCCCTACACTCAGCTTCCCTTGGAAGCAGAGGCACCAGCCAAGGTGTTTCACTTGGCAAAGGCATTGAAATCCCACCTGCTTTCCTCCTCTCCTGCTGTGACCCCATTCCAAAGTCCAGAGGCAGCTGTGGAATTCAGTGAAACCTTCAGGCAGCCAAGCAAAGTTCCAATTAGGAGATAATATCCCTGGGAGAGGAAGTTCCAGAGAGAGAAGTGAGATGGGAACAGACCAAAAGCAGAGCAGCTCTGCCCTGGCAGCAGAGCCCAGTCCAGCAGCTCTTTGCCACCCAGGAGGGAAGTCAGAGGGGTGAAATGTGGCTCTTGGCTCGGAATTGCCCCTGGGATTAAGCTCCTGCTGCCACGTGGCCATTCCCTGGCTGCTCCCCAGTGTGGCCACCTCTCTCTTTCACCAGGAAACCCAGTATGAAATGCAAATTCTGGGATGAAATCACAAGCAATGACAAAAGCCTGTAAAATATCAGAGCCATCCAGGCCCTAGTGACATCCTGTGGTAGTCACAAGGCTGGCTGAGGTTAAATAACTCACCAAACCAACTGGCCCAGACTGTTTGCAGTGCTGTGCAGTGCGTTGGGCTGGTCCTCAGGAGCCTCCTCCAGGGTATTCCTGGCCCTGAGTGGCTGCAGCTCCCTCATCCCACACTGTGGAGGAGCCTGAGCACCTTCTGCTGTGGTATGAGGCCTCCTGGTTGGTGTCCAACCCTGATGATGAGCTCCAGCACACTCTGGCTGCTCCTGGAGGAGCATTTTCCCACCCCATCCCCATCCCCATCCCAAGCCACCCACGCCGGGATGAGCCACGTGGCCATTCCCAGCCCCTCCAACCCCAATGATTGATTCCTTCACACGTGTGGCCACGTGAGTCACAACCTTTATTTCCAGCTTTTTCCCTGTGGAACAAGCTCATTCCTGTGGTTACAACTATTTACAGAGTGTGCAGGGTGGTTGGGACCAGCCTGGACCACCGACCACGGGGCAGAGCAGAGCACGTGGAGGTGGCAGCAGTGGCAGGACATGGAGACAACATACAGGACTGGGATGCCAGGCAGGGGCTGTCCTTGCCCTGGCAGAGATGTGGCAGCAGCTAAGGGACCATGAGCAAGAGCAGCTCCCACACAGGAGCCACAGAGCAGTGCCAGGAGGTCCACGGGGACACGCGGCAGACGCCAACGCCATGCGAAGGAGCAGCGGTGACAGACACAGGTTGGGGACCCTGTGAGCTGCCAGCCCCGAGGCTGGTGAGGGCCCAGGGGTGGTGAAGCCCTGAAGGAGGTGAAATCCTGGAGGACATGAAGCCCTGGAGGAGGTGAAGCCCTGGAGAAGCCATGGCAGAAGAAAGCCCTTCCCGGAGGCGGCACCTGCTCCATCAAGCTCAGCTGTTTCCTCAGGTCTTCTCCACCTCCTCACAAAATCAGGGATGTGTAACCGACAGGAACGAGGCCAGTGCTGTTTCCATGGCAGCAGCGGATCCAGTCTTCATCCACGGTGGAGAGCAGCTGCAGGATGTCTCCTTTCTGGAAGCTCAGGTGCCCTTCGGCGGTGCCTGTGTGGTCGCACAGTGCCCGAACTGCCCTGCACCACAGTCACCATCAGGGACTCCCCTCCCCACCGACCCCCAGGACCCTCAGAGGCTCCCACACCACTCTGGGGGGAGATGGTTGATGCTCCTGTGTGGAGCCAGTGATCCCCTCCTTGGGCAGGGGAGGGATCTGAGCAAGGAGCCACTTGGCAGTTGTCCTGCCAAGCAAACCCTGGGAATGGGAGCAGAGTGGGAGCAGCTCCAGTGCAGAGGGTGTAGGGACATCAGAGTCAGGACCAGAGAGGGCTGGGGGGGAGGAGGGAGGTGATCAAACATGGTTTGGGATGGTCACACACCCAACCCTTCTTGCTTGGACACACCACTGTGGCTGTTCTGACTGCCACAGCCTGGTCAGAACTTCCACGGGGTTGTCCCAGAGAAGATGCCACAAATCCAGAAAGCACACAGGAAAATGCTAAAAATCCCCCCCCCAAAAAAAAGATATCTAGGAAAAACAACTGATCCCATGTGGGCAGAGACATGAGTTCTCCCAAAGCTCAGCAGGAGCTGAGAATGCTCAGGGATGCAGTGATGGTGCCTTTCCCTAGAGAGGCACCTGGAACCCCCAGGCCCTGTCTGGGAGCAGCTTTGGCTCCCCCCTGCCCACCCAAACCCAGCAGCAGCTTGGCAGCCCCCAACACCCCCCTGTCCTGCCTCACCTGTGGGCCTGGGGCAGGGCAGACGTTCTCCTCTGCGGCTGTTCCTGAGTGTGGGTCCTGTCCAACGTCAGCCCCTTCACCACCCCGGCCAGGACACGGGGGCTGGGGGACAGCCAGCGGGAGGGTCTCCTGCCACAGAGCAAAGGCAGCTCACCTGGGAGCTTTTCCCATCACCTGAGCAGGTTGTGGTGGTGCTCTGGGAGGGGACAAGCACCACTGAACCTCCACCGTGAGCTGCTGCTGCTCCACAGGATTGAACAACACGATGGCAGCAGCACTTGGGACAGGCACTAATGCCAGGAGCACAAACAAGGCCTGTGGTCAGCTCTCCATGCCCTGCCTGGGGTAGAAACCCTTTCCCCAGCCCATGCTGCCTCTGCCATCAGCCTGCCCAAGCTTAGGGTCTTACCTGGACCTGGCCGAGACGGCGTCAGGACTCGGGGGAGAGCTCCTGGATGATGGGTTGGTGGCTCCAAAGAGCCATCCCAGCCAGCTGCCCGTGTCAGGACCAGGAGCAGCAGAAGGACCACCTGCCCCTGGGCCAGAAGGTGCTGCCTGGCTCCTGTTGGCACGAGGCTCTTGGGAAGCAGCCAGGAGCTTCTCTCCAGCAGTGGGATCATCCAGCTCGGTGGGTGCTCCCGTTCCAGTGTGCAGGATGAGGTCTTCAGGGGAGGAGGTCCCTGAGGTGTCAGTGCTGCTGCTGAGCTTTGGGCCAGAGCATTCAGGAGCAGCTTTGGACTGCAGGAGCTGCAGCTCTGTGCCTCCAGGCTCACTGAGGGAGGTTTGGGGTCGTGCAGCTTGCCCAGGGCTGGAATCCCCTGCAGCCACTCGCAGCTTCGTCCACCACACCAAGGGGAACTTTTCCTTGCTAGGAGCAGTGTAAACCCTGGAGGTCTGGCTCAGCTGGCCCCACCAGCCACTGAGGCCAGCCCCAGTGCCCTCCTCGGGCCCCTGGCACTCTGGAGGGCTCTCAGCCCCCAACAAGCTGCGGCTGAGCTGATCCCCCCAGCGCAGCACGTGCTGGAAGGTTTGCTGCAGGGCAGCCCCGACCGGGGGGGCAGGGACCAGCCCACCCAGGGTTGATTGGGACCTTGTGCTGCCCCTGGAGCTTCCCACCCTCCCCAGGACATCAGGGGGGATCTCATCCTCCAGGCTGGCCCTGGCAGAACCCCTTTGGCTCTCCAGAGGTGGCTGCAGAGCAGAGCGAGGGGTGGGAGAGAGAGGAGACTCCAGTCGCCGGGACAAGGGTCGGACATCCACGGGGAGGTGGTGGTGTTCAAACAGCAGGTCAAGGTGGAAAGTCAGCACTGAGAGGGGCTGGATGAGCAGCAGCAGTTCATCAGCAAGGTGGGGGAGACGACCTTGGCTCAGGGCAAAGAAGGCTGTGGGTGAGTACAGCACAGAGATGACACCTGCGAGACAAGGACAGGCTGGGCAGGTACAGAACTCCCTGCCCTTGCCATCCCTTCCCAGAGCCAGCAGGGATGTTTGTGAGGGTCAGACCTTGAGGATGCACCATGGAAAATGATGCTCTGATCCAGTGGGATTATCAGCCTGGAAGGTGTAAGGAGGTTTGGGGATGAACTCCTGGGCACTGTGTCCTTACCTGGGCTCTTCTGCAGGTGAGAGATCCACAGCTCCAGCTGTTTAGTGCTAAAGAAGACAAAGAGAAGCCAAATTAGAGCCCTTGGGGCTGTTCCAACCTGCCATGGCAGCAGGGCCATAGGAGCCAATACTCACTTCAAAAGGCCTAGGATAAAGGCATGGAACTTCTGCCTGTTGCTGCTGAGGGGGGTCAGCCCAGCCACGTGCCAGCACAGGGTTTGGAGGGAGCGTGTGTTGGGCCCTGTGGGGTGCACAGCACAGTCAGTCACTGCTCAGGGCTGGAACAGCACTCTAGGCACCTGGAGATGCCACCACCTCCCACCCACCTGTCTTCACAGAGGCTTCCACCACACTCCAGGGGGAAGTTTTCCTCTGGCCCGTGATAACATCCTTCTGGAAGGGCTTCAGCCCGTCCTCCACCAAAGCATAGAGCGCAGGGCAGAGGGTGTGCAGCAGCAGATAACCCACGTCGGGGCTGAGCCGACTGTCTCCCAGCTGAGCCTGCAGGAGGAGGCACAACGAGAGGGGAGGGAGGAAGGGGAAGGGAAAAACCTGACCCTGATCCCTCCTGCACACCCCAGCCCAGGTCCTCACCTTCTGCACCAGGTTCCGTGCGGTGCTGAAGTGAGCGATCACCTTGTCCACGGCAGAGCTGACAGCGACCAGCAGAGCTGCGGGGGAGGAGGAGGAGGAGGAGGA